TTTTTTTGTGGAATGAGAGTCCCTACTTTTACTTTACTCCACCAACTAGAAATGAAGTTTTGCGAAATCAGATGATGTAGATAATAGAGTAGACAGAATTTACATGTTGGTACCTGTTTCAAATGTAGCATAAGCTGGAAGTGATAGAGAATCACTACCACCACATGACTGTATAATGGCCTATTTGGAATGAATTTATGGTCTCTGTCCAAGTCTGAACAGACAAGAGGCGACATCACAAGAAGCAACACATAACCAGCAGTAACTGCTACACTTTTTGGCTATCTTAACAGAGAAGCCAAGGACTGAATGAGCATGAAGAATGAGCTAACCTTTCACCTCACCCCTTCAGGTCAGGGATGAGACATCTGATCAGGGCAGTGTTAGGAAGCTTGCTCTGTCCTTATCTATGCTGCCCCTGTTCTGTGCATAAACAAAAGACTTCATTCTTAATGAGGGGCAGACTGGGATTCTTCATGAACTCTAAATTTATGTGAGAAATGTAGAAGTATAGGCAATTCAAAATTAACCTCTCAGGAGCTTACATTAAAAAGCACAAGATCCTATCTCACATAAAGCTCTACCTTTCTGATTGCCAGCCACCTTAATAACTAACTCCCCATAATACATATGTATGTAGTGTGGATATGAGTGTCAGGGGAAGTCAATGTATACTTGCAGTGTGTGTGTGTGATAGGAAGAGCAACACCTGTAAAAAAGGTCACCTAATATTTATTTATAAGAATCTTTTTCAAATGCTTTATGTTTTGCCAAATATTAAATGTTCAAGCTTATTTTTTATGCTAATCGGTTGTCTCTGGTCAAATTTTGTAGAAAAAGTTTCAGATGAAGTGACACTCCTTAAAAAAAATTCACCCATTTTGTTGAGAAGCTCTAGCACCTTTGAGGCAATTGAAGCAGGCAAATGAAATTTGGCAAATGACTGATATCTGTTACACCAGGGATCTGTCTTTTATCATCTTTTTGAAAATCTGCCCAAATCTGGTTCAGTTATAATTCTCTAATAATCACAGGTCTCCTGTGCTCAGTGGAGGGTTGCTAGAAAGTAGCAACTAAATTATCCAACTATTATGTCTGTCCCAAGCATTCTCCCTTCCCACACTGCTTCTACATAATGTATATGTGCCCTGAGCATGCTAGGGAGGCAGGGGCTAAGCTGGACTTCCCCTGCAATTATTCTTCCCCAAAGCTGGAGAGCACTGTGGCGCAAGAATTAGGATCAGGGAAACAAACAGTCCCTTGAGTGCTCTCTGTGCTGCACACTGGTATCCGGACAGCCCGGAGAAGGCTGATTGGAGTGTAGAGAGGTGGGAAGCAGGGAGAGTGAAAAAGGAGGGATGACACATCCAGAGAGGAAAACATAGAATCATAGAATCATAGAAGTAGGGTCGGAAGGGACCTTGTAGATCTTCAAGTCTGACCCCCCGCCTGGGCGGGAGAAAAGACTGGACTCAAATGAGTCCAGCCAGGTAGTCATCAAGCCTCTTCTTAAAGATCCCCAGGGTAGGAGCCAGCACCACTTCCCTAGGAAGTTGGTTCCAGCTCCTAGCCGCCCTAACTGTGAAGTAGTTCTTGTGGATGTCTAATCTAAATCTACTCTCTAATAACTTGTGTCCATTGTTCCTTGTCATGCCAGGGGGCACTAGGGGAAACAGTGTCTCCCCTAAACCCTTCTGGTCCCCCCTAGTGAGTTTATAGACAGTCACCAGGTCCCCCCTCAGCCTTCTCTTGTG